ACTCTGGCTCTCACAGGTTGTGAGATCGGTGATCAGTTCAGTCCCTGTAATGCTGAACAAGCACTTGGGTCTCTCTGGCTCTGCTTATCCCCAGATTGCTTCTGACGGGAAGGATGGGTGTCCGTGAAGCCCTTTGTTTGGGCTTCTCCTGGTCCTACATTCCATCCCCAATACAGTCACTGCATTTACGTTCCCAGTAGCAGCTGGAAAAATGGATGAACGGCAGGGTGACACAGGAGGGGACCTGAAATCCAGGTCAGCCCTGCCACTCATGGATTGTAAAAGCCCGGGCAGGTCGCTGATCTTCTGGAACAGAGGGACCTTACCCCAAAGAGAATGGAGCTTCAGCTTCTGGGCCTGCGCTTGCTTGCGTGGCCCCTCTGATGGCCTGACTGTATCTCTAGTTTTATCCTTATTATATTTCATTTCTAAAAAAATTTTTTGCAGAGGGCATGTGTGCTCACCAGAGAATGATGAAGAGAGAGAAGGAGAGGGAGAAAACGCCCCCACTAGCATGTGGTCACTTCACACTCCCTTCTCCTCCATTTCTCATCTTGCTGGAGTCTTGGCCACGCACGCACATGCACCCAGTGTGTTTTTCAAGCTGTCGGTGCTGAGATTTGAACCATATGGTTGGACATGTGGGATCTGGCTCCCATAACCAACAGGCCATGGGACTGACCCGTATATTTCATTCCCCAGATTGTTTACGTCTCAGCCCACAAACCTAAATCTGCCCTGCGTCTGGGCCTCTCTTTCTCTTTTGCATAGTGAGGAAGTACTTAAAGGTTTCTTATAGCTTGAGACTGTTATGAGTCTCCAAGTCTAATGTTTGTCTCTGAGCATCTGGGTACATGGAAGTGAGCCCAGACTAAAAATGAGAGTGTAGGGTAGTATTGGTAGGCAACAAGAGGGGACAGGGAACACGGTGGGCAGGAGCGGTGACACCGAGTTAGGGTACACTGTGTGGCACCTCGGACCCAGGTGGACAGCAGTTGGCAGCCTGGGGCAGAGTACGGGCTTAATGTGGATTTTCTCACCCCCTCCCACCCCCGGCTCAGTTTGTGCCGATGTAACCCCCCGCCAGCTCCCTCCATGTGACATTTCCTTTGCTAATGCTAGGTCTGTCTCAGAAACCTCCTTTGCAGAAGGGACACAGTCTCTGTGTAGGTTTGAAAGCAGTAGCGGGCTTTGCAGGCCTTTCCTTAAGTGAGATTCTCAGGTCAGGCCGAGTGGGAAGCCTACGGCTTACAGAGCTGCTTTCTAGAAAGTAGGTAAGCATGAGCACTGCAGGAGCCCACACCCACAAAAGCATCTGGCCACACACAGGGCTCAGCAGCCCCACAGCTGGTCCAGCAGCCCCTCTTCTCATCATGACACAGCTACAAGTAGTACCCGACACCTGGGTGGGGGCCTCAGCATCCAGCTTGCTGCTGGAACAGGTATTAAGGGTTGGGATGGACAAACCGGGTTGAGTCAGCAAGTGGCCAGGAGGTCAAACAGTGTAGTGGGTGCTGTGGAAAACCCTGCTGAGCTGGCCTGGTTTAGCTCTAGCAAGAGAACCATGATGGGGTGGGGTGGGGCAGGGTGGGGACTCACGGAGGTGTTCTGGCACTGCACGCTGGAGCTGTTGAAGCGCAGAGCAGGCACCCTCTGCTCGCTGCCCTGGATGCTAAGGATGCACTCATAGCCGCGCTGCCCAGACTGGGGCTGCGGGAGGTTCTTGGCCTTCAGAGTGATGGGCTTGACCACTTCCACAGGTACCAGGATCTTGTCCACTCGCAACAGCTGGGGGCAGTCCTGGGGACAGAGAACACAGTCATGGGAGCAACCTGGCAGCCCAAGGTTGCAACCTCTGCAGACATCACCTGGTCCACCCTCCTACAGACACACCGCAGACAGCCTCCAAGGCTCTTTTGCTGAGCCAGCATGGTGGGAGAGGGAAGAGGGCTGAGGCATCCTGGGTCCAGCATCACCATCTAGAGGCAAGCAAAATGTGGTATATCCATACAATATTATTCAGCCATAAAAAGCAAAGAAGTGGGAACCAGCAGTTAGCGTAATGGCTATGTCGCTGGACTCCCACGTAGTCGACCGCGGTTCGAATCCTGGACCCGGTGGCTTAAAACTCACGCCGGGCATGTGTGCGTGCCCAAGATCCTGAGAGGAGAATGGAGGAGAAGTCCAGGACTGGCCCACGGTGAGCGAGAGACCAGCCAGCATGCGGCAGGAGTCTGCCCTAACTTCTGGGACATGTAGGAGATGGGCCGGGATTATAATGGTCAGGTGTCTCCTCAGTGGTGAGAACCCCAGGTGCAGGCTTCCAGCCTCAGTGTCAGCAGTTTGCACCTGGCTCTGGGATTTCCAGGTCCACCTGAAGCAGAGCTGGAAGTGCCAAGCCCCATGTACTGGAGAGATCAGCCACTAGACTTGGGGCCCCAAGGGCTGGAAGCAGAATGGACCATCATGTTCTGGGGCATCAGGCTTCCAGATGGGAACTTTTCCCATGAGGAGCTTTGGGACCTGCTGGTTTCTTCAATCCCAAGAATGCAGTGTGAGACAGGCAGACACACCCACACTGGAGCCCAGCATGCCCTTCCGCACTTACAGGTGCAGATGGGGTACCTCGTGGGGACACTGCAGAGGAGGTGGCTCTGCCTGCTGGGGCCACCAAGCTCCTGTTTATACCCTTGTTCCCAGGAGGCTCGATTTTGCTCCCATGTTTGGGAATTCCCTGTGGCCACCCAGGACTCATTGGGTCAGGCAGCTCTTGGCGTAGGAACTGCTGAGGACAGTTCAACACCATCTACCTCCAGTTCTGCCAGTTAAAGGCATGGCAGTGCATCCCAACCAGCTTCCTAGGAACTTTAAAAGTTAGTCCCCAGGGTGTGAAGGATGCTGATCAAAGGTTTGTATGACTAACTCATGCTGTTACCCGGGCCGTGACAGGAGTTAGATAACAGCATGAGTAGGTCGTGTGGCATTAGCCTAAGTACAGGAGCCACCAGGCTCAGTCTTGTAACATTTGCATCCCTTTCTCGGAGGACTTGGGGTGCACCATCTGAGGCTACACCGTGTCCTCTTTCCTGAGACCTTGGACCTGGAGCAGCTTCCCTGAGGAAATGAAGCTGTTTCCCCCATGATCTGAAGTCCCTGCCTGCTTTCTGCTGAGTCAAATGTGGGGACCAGGCCTTTTCTTTCCACAAGGTTCATCTCGGTTTGGGGAGAATTACTTAAGCTAAACCTTTGGGGCTGGTCTGCTAGTTTTCAGGATTTACGAGGAAATGCGAGGTGTCCAACGTCCCCTTTGCTTGTGGATTTAATCTGGAGCCTGGCAGACATCTGAAACATAGCCTGGTCACGTGGGGAGGAGAGGGATATGCATGTGGGGCGCTGTGGGGACTCTGGCTCTCACAGGTTGTGAGATCGGTGATCAGTTCAGTCCCTGTAATGCTGAACAAGCACTTGGGTCTCTCTGGCTCTGCTTATCCCCAGATTGCTTCTGACGGGAAGGATGGGTGTCCGTGAAGCCCTTTGTTTGGGCTTCTCCTGGTCCTACATTCCATCCCCAATACAGTCACTGCATTTACGTTCCCAGTAGCAGCTGGAAAAATGGATGAACGGCAGGGTGACACAGGAGGGGACCTGAAATCCAGGTCAGCCCTGCCACTCATGGATTGTAAAAGCCCGGGCAGGTCGCTGATCTTCTGGAACAGAGGGACCTTACCCCAAAGAGAATGGAGCTTCAGCTTCTGGGCCTGCGCTTGCTTGCGTGGCCCCTCTGATGGCCTGACTGTATCTCTAGTTTTATCCTTATTATATTTCATTTCTAAAAAAATTTTTTGCAGAGCGCATGTGTGCTCACCAGAGAATGATGAAGAGAGAGAAGGAGAGGGAGAAAACGCCCCCACTAGCATGTGGTCACTTCACACTCCCTTCTCCTCCATTTCTCATCTTGCTGGAGTCTTGGCCACGCACGCACATGCACCCAGTGTGTTTTTCAAGCTGTCGGTGCTGAGATTTGAACCATATGGTTGGACATGTGGGATCTGGCTCCCATAACCAACAGGCCATGGGACTGACCCGTATATTTCATTCCCCAGATTGTTTACGTCTCAGCCCACAAACCTAAATCTGCCCTGCGTCTGGGCCTCTCTTTCTCTTTTGCATAGTGAGGAAGTACTTAAAGGTTTCTTATAGCTTGAGACTGTTATGAGTCTCCAAGTCTAATGTTTGTCTCTGAGCATCTGGGTACATGGAAGTGAGCCCAGACTAAAAATGAGAGTGTAGGGTAGTATTGGTAGGCAACAAGAGGGGACAGGGAACACGGTGGGCAGGAGCGGTGACACCGAGTTAGGGTACACTGTGTGGCACCTCGGACCCAGGTGGACAGCAGTTGGCAGCCTGGGGCAGAGTACGGGCTTAATGTGGATTTTCTCACCCCCTCCCACCCCCGGCTCAGTTTGTGCCGATGTAACCCCCCGCCAGCTCCCTCCATGTGACATTTCCTTTGCTAATGCTAGGTCTGTCTCAGAAACCTCCTTTGCAGAAGGGACACAGTCTCTGTGTAGGTTTGAAAGCAGTAGCGGGCTTTGCAGGCCTTTCCTTAAGTGAGATTCTCAGGTCAGGCCGAGTGGGAAGCCTACGGCTTACAGAGCTGCTTTCTAGAAAGTAGGTAAGCATGAGCACTGCAGGAGCCCACACCCACAAAAGCATCTGGCCACACACAGGGCTCAGCAGCCCCACAGCTGGTCCAGCAGCCCCTCTTCTCATCATGACACAGCTACAAGTAGTACCCGACACCTGGGTGGGGGCCTCAGCATCCAGCTTGCTGCTGGAACAGGTATTAAGGGTTGGGATGGACAAACCGGGTTGAGTCAGCAAGTGGCCAGGAGGTCAAACAGTGTAGTGGGTGCTGTGGAAAACCCTGCTGAGCTGGCCTGGTTTAGCTCTAGCAAGAGAACCATGATGGGGTGGGGTGGGGCAGGGTGGGGACTCACGGAGGTGTTCTGGCACTGCACGCTGGAGCTGTTGAAGCGCAGAGCAGGCACCCTCTGCTCGCTGCCCTGGATGCTAAGGATGCACTCATAGCCGCGCTGCCCAGACTGGGGCTGCGGGAGGTTCTTGGCCTTCAGAGTGATGGGCTTGACCACTTCCACAGGTACCAGGATCTTGTCCACTCGCAACAGCTGGGGGCAGTCCTGGGGACAGAGAACACAGTCATGGGAGCAACCTGGCAGCCCAAGGTTGCAACCTCTGCAGACATCACCTGGTCCACCCTCCTACAGACACACCGCAGACAGCCTCCAAGGCTCTTTTGCTGAGCCAGCATGGTGGGAGAGGGAAGAGGGCTGAGGCATCCTGGGTCCAGCATCACCATCTAGAGGCAAGCAAAATGTGGTATATCCATACAATATTATTCAGCCATAAAAAGCAAAGAAGTGGGAACCAGCAGTTAGCGTAATGGCTATGTCGCTGGACTCCCACGTAGTCGACCGCGGTTCGAATCCTGGACCCGGTGGCTTAAAACTCACGCCGGGCATGTGTGCGTGCCCAAGATCCTGAGAGGAGAATGGAGGAGAAGGGATTGCGGCGTGACCATCCCCCCTGGGGGGTGATTTCTCGCTTTCTGTCTCTATGTCTCTTTCTGTCTGTCTGGCGAGAGCACGCGCCCTATAGCAAAACCTCTCCAGGAAAAAAAAAAAAAAGCAAAGAAGTTATGACCCGATACAACATGGATGAATCTTGGGGATATTACGCAAAGTGTGGCAAGCCAGATCCAAAAGGACGAATACTGTTTGATTGCACTTATGTGAGGAACCCAGAGTAGTCAAACTCATAGAGTCAAGACAGGAGAATGGTGGTTGTCAGGGGCTGGGGAGAAGGGAAACGAGGAGTTGTTCAATGGGTACAGCCTCAGTTGGGGATGGTGGTGATGGTTACACTACAATGAAGGTTCTTGATACCAATGAGCTGGACCCTTGACCTGGTTTAGATGGAAGATTTTATGACCTGCATCATATCGTGGTTTAAAACTAACAAAGAACAGTGCAGGGAAGCAGCCAGCAGGAGAATGGGGCCTTGGCCTTAACCTTACAGTGGCTCCAAAGCATGTGGATCTCTGGGGCCACTTAGGTACCCACGTGGGGAGAGTCTTAGTGGCCCTATCCTGCATCCCTACCCCAAGATGGGAAGATAGGACACACAAAGGAGAGAAGGGATTCTGTGAAAAGGGGAAGTCGGATCTGGAGTAGGAGGTGAGCTATGCTGACAAACAGAGAAGGGCAGATTTCTGGGAAGTGGGGATTTGTGAGTGGGGAGCCCAAGCCAGTGTTCTGGTTCCAGCTGGCTCTGCCTGTGCCCTGGGCAGCTTTTCCTCCCCCAAACCATGAACATGCCCAATCTTTCCTCCAGCCATATCACAGGAGAGAGCTGGGTTTGTGGTCACACTGCAGTGAGAGCCAAGAGCCCCTGGTACCTCTCATCTTCTGCATCAAACTGTCTCCACCCATGAACTATGTGGTGCTCTGAGGGTACTTGGAATCTGACAGTCCTCTGACCAACCTCATGGACTGCTTCTACTTTGCGAAGGAGAAACTGAGGCAAGGAGAAGAACACTAATGACTCAGTGTTAGTAGACGAATGGGCAGGTGAAGAACTCAGATGCCAACCTGCCTGAGTTTCCATGGTTCCTCTTCTGAGTGAAGAAGCAAGTCCCCACAGGTGGGCAGGTTAGTTGGTCAACAAGGATCAGTGAACTCAGCTGCTCAGAAACCTCCTGAGCTGGGCTGGAACCCTGCCTGGGGCTGGGCAGTTCTCTCCAGGATAGGGGAAGGCAAAAAGCTGTCCCTCTTGTGCCCTGTGAGATTCTTTCTGAAGCTTGTGATGAGTCCTCTAATGAGTCCTGATTACCAGTGGTCCCATGAAGACCTAGTTTGCATATAAAAAGGTTGGTGGCTTTGAGAGTAAGTTCATTAATAATAATTGGAGAGGCCCAGGGCTGGGCTGGACACATTTTTCCTCCAGTGGCGCTGCTGATTGACCCCAGTGTCCCTGCTAATTGAAATGTAAAATGGCAATTTTTCCCTAGGCAACAGGCATGTTGGGACCATTTCCACCATCCTGCCCCTTCCTCCCACCCCATTGTCCTGGATTCTGACCTGCCTCATGCTAAGTTTCCCGATATCAAATCACCTGGATCTGATACTCATGGGAAATTTTAGACAAACATCCGTATTTCTCCAGGACTCAAGCCTGAGGTCTTGTTTCATGGCCCAGGGGCCCAAGCCACCCAGATCTTTGTCCTCATTTTTGAGGTTCCTCAACTCGACAGAGTCTGTCTGGTGAATCACGTAACCACAGTGCATGCCTGTCCTCCTCTCATTAGTGTCTGAGTCTTGAAAAATGCTCTTATCATGGCTTGGCTTAACTATAAATGGGGATTAAAATTCCTCCTCCGAAGAGCATTTTGGGGGATTCCATGAATTAACATGTACAAAGGATCTGGCACAGAGCAAGCGACATTCAACAAATGTTTGTTCGTTCCTCATTTTCCCTCCCAGATCAGGCTGTATCTTTGTCCCTCATCTGCTCCCTTTTCCCTTCTCATTTCCAAAAGACCATCTCTGTGCTTCAGCCTCTGTGAACTTTTCCATGTGTATCCCATCAGCTCCCACTCTCCAGCTTCCTGGGCTTATTCAACTTCCTGGCTTCACATCTTATGTTGAACCTAGTAATTTCAACAGCACCAAGTGCCCCAAGCACGAAGGGGAAAGCCCACTGCTCCCCTGTTGGCAGTCCCTTCTTCTGGAAGGTGACACCTGGAAGCTGTGTGCTCCATGTGCTCTGAGACAGGAGATCCAGCCGCCAACTACATGGCCTTGGGCATGTCTCTCAACATGCTGGGTCTCTTCATCCATAAAATACAGTTTGACTTTCATGGTCTCCAGATATTGTAACATGAAAAGAAGCACACATCTGGCCTTTATCTCTGGTTCCTGGCACTACAGGATATTTTCTGAGTGACTGGAATGAGAGGGACTTTTTGTTTTGTTTTGCTTTCATAATAGGCCCTGGGGACTGGATGGTGACACAGCAGTAAAATATGATGCTGTGCAAAGCTGACCCACATGGGAACGTTCTGGGGTCACATCTGGAGACCTCCCTGAGTATTCCAAGCATGCATGTGCCCATAATCAGGGGCTGGCTGAGGCTGGGGGTGGATCCTGGCATGAAGACCCTATTGTGGGTGTTCTCTCTAGTTCCTAGAATAAACAAACAAATGCAATTTAAAAAATAATAAGCTCATTTAGACAATACCTGAGTTTATGCTAATGAAGGGGCCCTTAGAGGATAGGGTTTGTTGCCAGAGAACCAACCATGTGATTAGAGGACTGGCACTTTCTGTTCTTCCCCCACCTCTGGGGAAGGGCTAGATATTGAGCTCAGTTAACCAATGGCAGTGATATAATCTGCCACACCTATGTAAAGGAGCCCCCATAAAACCTTAAATGAAGAGGTTCAGAGACCTTCCAGGTAACAGAGGAAGGTGCTGGGAGGGTGCTGCACCAGGAGAGGGCATGGGCGCTCTGTGCCCTTCCCCACACTTTGCTCCATGTACTGCTTCATCGGCTACATCTGTGCCCTTTGCGATATCCTTATACTAAACCAGTACATGTAAGGAAGTGTTTTTTTCTGAGTGTTGTGACCCATTACAACAAACTGTTAAACCTGGGGAAGGGGTTATGGGAACCCTGACTCACAACTGGTTGGTGACAGAAGAGCAGTGACTACCTCAGACTTACGGTTGGTGTCTGAAGTGGGGGCAATCTCATGGAACTGTGTCCTTTAGCTTGTGGGATCTGATGCTAACTCCAAGGAGACAGTGTCAGTGTTGGATTCAGATGCAGGCTACTCAACTATGATAGTATCTGTAGGGAATTAGAGAATTGCTTGGTGTGGAAAAGAATACCAGGGTTTTGGTGTCAGAAGTGTGAAATATCGAGAACGGTTTGTTTTCTTTTAGTCTCGGTTCCATTATTACTCTAATAAATATGTTGGAATACATTATTACATAATAATTTTGAAGCTCAGTTTTTCTCATTTCTTAAAGGAGATAATAACACTTGCCCAACTAGCTCAAAGTGGGCACATTCAAAACACCAACCCACTAAATGAACACTGGAGAGGGTAGGAGGGTAAGTGACTTTTTTGAGGAGGTAACGTCTTAGAAGTAGATATTTACCTACTAGTAGAAAAGCTTTTTTTAATATTTGAATGACTGGACCCAATGCCATAACACAGCGGATAAGCAGTGGGCATTGAGAGCCAGATCCCACATGGCCAAGCATCATTTAAATCCTAACCCTGGTGGCTTGAAAAACACACCAGGCCCGTATGTGTGCCCAAAATCTTGATGGGAAGTACTCTCTCTCATGAGTGCATGTATCCACTGGTAATTAAAAAGAGGAAAGCATTGAAAAATATTGTAATAATTGGCATGTTGCAACCTGCTTTGATGGTACGATTGGGTACTAGCTCTGATAGAAAGTGTGTGTTACTGATATAATTCTAGTTAACACAGCTAACTTGGTACATGGGGCTTCAACACAGCACGTATTTCACCATCTCCACCACCTGACACATAGGCGTTGTATTGTTTGATAGCACAACACACATGATCGCCCCCATGTTTCAGATAAAGAAACAAAGGGTACCAGTCACCTCCCTCAGTACCTACAACGATGATGAGTACAGTTTTTTCACCCAATCTTCTCATGACTTACCCGCATATGACTACCTAGCCTCCATACAGAGCTCCTTAAGCACACATAGCCCTTCCCTTTTCAAGGAGCATATTTCTCTGAACTATTATTTGAAAGGGCCAGCTCTTAGAAAATGGAAAACACCTGTATTTAACAAGATTACTGGAAGACACACTAAGAACCAGCCTCCCTTGGAGGCTGTTTTGCCTGTGGCTACATTCTGCATTTGTAAGAATGGACTGAGGCTGCGGAGAGACAGTGGCTTGAGGCACAAGCAAACCTTTGATGACTTGACATTCAGGAAGCGGCTCCAGCAAGCTCCAGGTCGACCGTCCAGCCCCATGCACATTTGGTCTCCACTTAAATGTACGTAAAATAAAGACAGCACTGCTAATTACAAGGAGCAGGACCACAAAGCCTAAGTATGGAAGCATAAA